CACCCAAACCAAACCAAACCAAATCAACCAAGCTCTGGGCATCTCTCAGCCCAACACCGTCATATCTCACCTCCTAGCTGTTGCTCTACATGAATTACTGTGGAGCAGCAGAGTTCAGAGCCTGCCTCTACGCCCTGTGATCACAGTGCCGCTGCCACTGTCCTTTGAGAGGTGGGTTCAAGTCCCCCGGGACACAGTAGGTCTTCATACCCATCCCTTCTTCCCAGGTCCATGTTCTGGCCACAAGGATAATGCAAAACCTCTTCACACACCCCTCACTGCAGCTTCTGTGACAGTGCTCAGTTTAACTCTCCATTTCCCTCATTTTTTGCTAAACAGAAAAAACACATTTCCTTTTTTCGCCAAAAGGAAAACTCAACATTTTTTTCCATTTTAGCGAGAATAACTAAAAAATATAATGCTCAACATGAGGCTTTTTGGCTGTAGGTTCAACTGCTAAGCTGAGCACCATTGTCCAGCCTTCCTGCAGACATCCTGAACCCAAGGTAAGGAAAACCCCTTGTGACATTTTTCAGGTGAGAAAGTGAAAAGCCCCTGGGCTGCCTTGCATGGGGAAAGCCAAAAGCCTGGGCAGGATTTGCTTGCAACTTAACTTAGGGAGCCAACACTGGAAAGAAGTAAAAGAGTTTGCCGTCAATGAGAAATGCTTTCCACATTGCACAGCCTGGTAAGTACCCACAGGGCTTCCAGCTGCGGTCTTCATGGTGATCTCAAATACAACTTCAAGCATTTCAGCTTGGGCTGAGGAACCACCATCCGTTAGCTTGTTAAAAGCATAGCTGTGATGTGGCTAATGAAGATGTCCAACTACTTCTCTCTCACCTACCTAAGACCCTACAAAAAACTACCTAGGACCCTAATTTCTGGCCCCTCGGCTTCTGCTTTCCTCTCTCTACTTTGTATTTTGCATTTTGAAATTCTGCATTTTGAAATTTTGCATTCCCTCTGCCCGCAACACTTTCTGCACCAGAGTGAGCTCTGGACTGAGCTCCTTTGTAAATTAAAACCCTTCCATTAAGACCCAGCCTGCAACCCTTTACAAAAACAGGTTAGCTAACGCGTACTGCTGTCCACTTCTTCGCACAGCTCCCTGTGGCAATATCCACGGGATTTTGCAGTGCTAGGAAACACTGGCTCACAGGTGGCTAAATTGTAGAGACCGTGGTAAACAAGAGAACACCAGAGAGAATAAATAACCCCGTGTCGGATAGGGGGAGGTCTGGCATAACTTTAGCTGCTGTCTTTAACATTCCCTGTTGCTGAGCTTACAGAGGCTGCGACCCAACAGCTCCAGCCACCAACTCCGCCTGCTTACATAAGGCACTTGACAATATAGTGCCCTCTGAAACCCAGGCTCAGCAACACGTTGGGGAATTCCTCTGCAAGTTTTCAAAGTTCCTGGGCCCTGACAACATCCACAGACCAGGACAAAACACTCCCAGCCGGGTTGGACCCTTCTGCCAATAAATTCAGCTGGCTGCTCACAGCAGGACGCTCTTGTGGGTTAACTGGTACTTCACCACTGCCCTACCCTAAGTTTATGGTGGGTTAGCCTCCAGCGAGCCAGACCTCTTGGTAACAGATTGGCATGATCTGTCCCCACTTTGCTGACTGCAGTCACCAAATCCCAGGAGGGTTGCATGCTCTGTTGTCACAGAGCAGTAAAAAAACCCAACTCTCCTGCCTTCCCATTCAAAACTGGAGATAATTTGACACTTAGCTGAGTTTCTACTTGATAAAAATGAAACCCAGAGGGGAGAAAAAGCCCAAGAGGGGCCACGGAACTTTTTTCCCTGAAAGGCTGAGTTGCATCAGCAGAGAGACAGGACAAAATTGAGCAGTGAAAAAGATCATCACAACTGAGCTTGTAAGGGCAGCAATCATCATTCAAGCAAAACTGCAGTGCTCCAGCCATGGCTTTGTGTACGTTTGCCAATAAGGAGATGTTTGGAACCCTCTCCTAGCAGAGAGCCCTTGAACTCAGCGGCACAAACACAACCCCCTTTGCTGACAAGCACGCACAGGGTTGTAGGCTGGCGGCCGGCACGGCCCCACCAGCTCTCTGCCCACTGCAAGCTCGGCGGTTAGTGGGGCAGCAGCGGCAAACAGAGGCTCTAACTTCTCCCAAGGATGAGCATGCTGGGACAGCACTTTCCCATGTAGCTGCGTTTCTTGCCAATGCATGGAGGAGGTCCCACTGATCGAGGCCTTTCCCTTCCTCAGGGAGGAGGAAGCCTGTTCCAGCCCTTTTCCTGCACAGCCACCTGCTTCCTTTGCAGGCTGTGACAGGAACGGGGCCAGCGCTCAGCTGTTTTCTTGCCCCTGACAGCTCCCCAGAGAAGTGAGAGCACCCACGCCAGTAGCCACATCTGTCCTTGTGCCACCCAGGCTTATCCATCAGGAGAAGCAGCTCACAGCAGCAAGCTTTGCAAAGCAGACAATGCAAAAAAACAGTGTCTTGTACTTCTCTGCACGTAAGCCCTGGACACCTCCCAGCTGAGATTTTAGGACCTTCCTCAAAGCTGGTCCATAAAGCAGTGGCTAAATTAAAGTCTTTACCTTCCTAGCGCACAACTTTAAGGCTGCCGTCCCATTAACAGCGCATCCAGATCCTAAGTAAAGGGGCACATCTCCTCTGCCACAGATACCAGAGTTTGGGTCCTCCTGATATCCAGCAACCCTGTCATTCCCTCTTTACGCTGGGACTGTCCTACGCTGAGGCTGACGTGCAGAGACCACCCTGCTACAGAAGGTTCTCGGAGGATTATTCAACCAGCATCACAGCTTCTGGGCCACGACTTTTTTCTGATATGCTTTCCCTCACAAAACTTCTGGCTAAAACAAGACGCTACTGCAAAAATTTTTCAACTAAGCTCAGCCTCAAAGGGAGGTCAGTGCCAACACACCTTGGAAAACCTTACTGCCCCATTTAAAACCTTTAAAAATGCAGCCCAAAGATCACAGAAAAGGCAAAACTTTTGATTCCTTCCTTGCCTACACACTCATGTATCACTGTTTGCAACACAGCTATTCCTGACTTAATGAGATAAGCAGAGAACTAAGTAAGTGACCTGTTTTACCTCATCAGAGGACCAAAGTCTCACCAAGAGTATCAGGCAGAAACAGGAACAGAGCTCTCAAATACAAGCAGAAGTTCAAAAATAGAGGTTGCCAACTTGGCTTTCACTTGGACATTCTTCTTTCTGGTTGCTAGTTACCATATCTTTGTCAGGCTGCACAAAGAGGGGTTCAGCTTTCTGATAGGGGTTAGTTGTCTTTGAGCCACAGCAATCACAAATCCACAGGCTGAAAATACGCTTTCTTCCAAATACATTTTGGCATAGCCAAGAAAAAAAAAATACCAGTTCTGTTGCTGGTCAGAAAGGCCTTCTCATATCTCCAGAGATCCTGAGAAGATGGTTTGAGAGTCTGCAGCAGCTCGGCACATTTCAAGTAGTCTAACGGGGAGGCTAGAGTTGCCTTGATGAGGCTGTGCTATCCGATGGGCTGCTCTCCTTCTCAGGTCAATCAGAGCACAATTCCCACCTCTGACCTAGCCCCTGTTTCACACTTGAGGCATGACGAGAGCAGTAAAAGTACACACGCCCTCCCCCCCAAACTCTGGGAGAAACCTTCAATTCCATCTTCTTTTCTACCACCAGAATGGCAAAAGCAAAACTTAGAGCATTTAGCCAAGCTACCCCTGTTGGTTACAACACATTTACATCGTAAATACGCTTCCTACACAGCCTGTCACATAACAATACCAAGATTAAAACCAATCCACTTCTTCCACAGCTTTACATCAGGTAGTGCTTATTTCTGTTGCATGGAGCACTAACCTCTCAAAGCTATTTGTACACCCACTCCTCCCTGCTGACCAGCTTCCTCACTCCAATGAATAATGTTTTCAGGAGCTTTAACGAATTCTGGAGGTGAACCAGACCACCAGAACCTATTTAGACTCGAGGAGCTCCAGGAATCCCCACTATCAAGCTACAGAAAACATTTTGTGAAAGAGTCAGACGCCAGGACTTCCTACATCTCCTCTGCTTTCTGATCCAGCAGATCAAATGTGTGGCTCCCTGAGATCCAGCAGATCAAACATCTGGCTCCTTAAAATACGCACTGAGGAATGTACAAGTCTGCGAAACCTTTAACTCTCACTATAGAGACAGCTGATGTAAAAGGCATTTTTGCAGGCAGGGCTGTCTCCTAAATGAAGGCACATAGCAGGGAGAAAAGAAATATGCTTGAAAGCTGCCATATTCTAAGAAACCCTACAATCTATAGCAGCGATTACAAGTCAGCATCACTCAGAGCACCCTCAAGGTTGCTCTAAACTGCACCGAGGATGGGGAAGAGGAACACAGGGAGCTTCGAATTCCCTCCAGCCAGGACTCCATATCATGCTATGGACCATCAACACAAGATGTTTGCACCAAGACATTCGCTGCTGTGCTGAAACCGAAAGCTGCTCACAGAAATTTTCCCATGAACGCTTTCAGGGAGCAAAAAGAAAACTGGCAGGTGAGAACGTAAGCCACGGAGAAAAAACCAAGCCTTTTTCTTCTAAGAGCCCCCACTTAGAGAGAGGTAATGTACAGGCAGGCCTGATTAATGCCATAACCAGAAGATGATGCCAGATCTCAATTGAAATTTTCCGTAGCTGTCACTAACTTACATCCACTGTACCTCTCACCCTGTAACACGTTCATTATACAGGTGTCTAAGATCAGGGAGCTCTCTCCATGAAGAACCCAAGGGAAGAACACCATTTCTCAGTGCAACCATGCCTCCATTTTTCAGGAGCTATCTCATCATGACACCACAACCTAGGTGCTGCGGCTGCATGTGCTATGTGCTGGAGCACCTTGGAAGAAAGCAGTATCACAGAGGTCCAATTTCAGAGCAGCAGCTCTTCTCCCCACCCCACCATATCGCCAGGCATCATAAAGCATCATAAGAAGGTGCCGTACCTGTATGTGACATGCACTGCAGTGCCAGGCTCGTCTCTCTCCCAAATCAAAGCCACTCTGTTCGGAGACTTTTCAACATGTCGATCCAAGCAATTTACTGTAAGAAAACAAAGGTTTAAACAAAGCCTGATCGTATATAAGGTGCTCCCTACACTGAGCTTGGTCAAGCGTAACAGCAAGTCAGCGTTAAGGTGAAACATCATTTGTTAGCTAGTCATTTGTAACACTGGAAGTGATAGCATTTGTAGCACTGCTAAAGCTGTCCTTTGCCGTATCTGGAGTATGCAAATACCACAAATATTATACTTAATTGGTACAGCTGCCTTAGAGATGGCATCCCCACGAGAGGCCTCAGCTGATTCAGCTCAGTTTAGCTCCACTGGCTAAGCTTAAACCAGCTCAAATCTCTACCCTGCTCCCAGCAGTACAAAGACAAGACACTCTTTTGATGTTTTTGCTCCCCAGAGCAGCATTCCACTACATAAATCTGACAGACTGTCTTCCCCAGCTTGCATTTTTAGCACTGCATGGTTTGAATTTTCTAATTAAAGCTCATGTGAAACATTTTTATTCCAGGGTATAACAGAAGAGCTGAATCTCGGCTAACTGCAAATATCTAAAACTTTAGGATCTAGGGTAAACTCAGAGAGTACAGACATCTACACATTACCAGACAACTGGGAAAGATGAACATGTCTCAAGCCGCGTACTACACCTCCTAAAACTTAAAGGTATAAAATCACCTTCCAAGATGCATCTCTCCCCCCAACTTGAGACAGAGGAAACCTCAACAACTACATGGGATGATCAAGTGGACTTAGGGAGAGCACTCACCCTGAAGAAACTTGGAGAGAATCCACCCAAGAAACCTGTCTCTGTGTTCAGCAGCAACTTGCCTGATGGTTAGGGATTAACCTTGTAAAGTATTAATTCCAAGCCTAAACTATGCTTACTTATTTCATTATAATCTTCCAAAGGCATTTCCTTTATTTCAATAGACAACTGTAAAAAAAACCAAGCTGGCACAGTGCTGTGTAACTCAGAGAAAAACCTTCAAAAAATTGCTGAGTTTCAGATAATATTTCCTGGAAGCATTTGTAAGAGTGGGGAAGGATTTCATTTTCCAGATAAATTAAGTGCAACGAAAGCTGCCTATTGCTGTCACAATTTGTGAAGTTTAAGTAAACTGCAGCCCAGGAACCAGCTTCGGCTGCTCTGTGATCACAGCTGATTTATACCACCACATGGAGTGTGGGAATGAGCCCCTAAAGGTGCGCAGGGGGAGAAATCCCTCCGCATTCAGCATATTTCATCACAATTGTCGATCTCAAAAATATGAAAAAGCGCTCTTCAGCTGTTTTAAAGTCTTTTATTTTTTTATGTAAATTCTTGCAGCAATACTATAAAAATAAAGGTGATAAAGCCATTTCTTAGGCCATCCTAATATGATACAGGAGGACAAAAGCTCTAATGGGGAATACTTTAAGCAGTTACAGGCTGATTTCTTCTGCTGCGGCTCGGTGTGTGACCCTCAGCAACTCCCGCCTCCAAGCTCATTGCAGCAACACCCTCACGTATTGCGCCACACTACAGTAAATCACATTAACGGGGATTCATTGCCCAAGCAGCATTTCTTACTTGTGAGCAGCCCTACTAGCCTTCAGAGGGAATTTCTCTTGCAGCAAGCCCCAGCTGAGCCAAGTGAGAGCTTTTAGCTCTTTGCTCAGTAAGAATCAGCAGGTGAACCAGGGCCAAATGCTATTATTGCCTTCCTGATCTTAGGCTTACAAAAGCCTTTTGCTCAGTTTACAAAACAGAATTTAGTGACCTTCCCCTTACTACTATACCCTAATGGTTTCTCCATACGCTTTCCTGCCTCCTCAACGATGCTTGGAAAAGATTCATTTCAGTAAGACACGCTCCTAAGAACCCAGTGTCCTGCTTGGAAGTGCAGTAGTTTGCCGGGTTATTCTGCTGGCCACAAGTTACAGTGCAATAAACCCAGAAGTGCTGAAGTTCACAGTTCCCCCAAATCCTACCACAAGGTCTCCCCAGGCAAAAACCAGCAGATGACTCAGTTGCCTGTGGTCCAGCTGTGGTGGGAGATGGGCACACAGGATGCTCCGGATCAGGGACTTGAACTGTTGCCATGTTTCTGTCACCAGTGTTCAAATAACTGGCCACTTTGCTGTGGCTGAGTACCATCTTCATTGTGTTTTAAAAGAAGAAATCCAGCAAGAGCAAAACTGTTTAATTCTGTGCATCTATGTTTCAGAGGTCTATGACATCTTTTTACCTATCCAAAGAAAACTATGTGCCATTTAGTGCCTGCTGAAGAACCAGAACCAAGACACGATCTAAAATCAGGCTCAGCGTCTGGATTTCAGACACCTGATTCACGTGAGATCCCGAACAAAGTGCCGATCCCACTCTATGGAGGGAAGTGAGAGATCCCTGAAAGTCTCTGTGCTCAGCCAAGATCTTCCTTTCAACAGGAGTCACTGAAAACAGAAGTCTGGCTAAAATCCCACTGGTCGCTGGGTGCTGGAAGCAGGGCTGTACGCAGACCTTTGTCAACTGCTGGGAATCATCTCCTGGGAGGAGACGCTCCCCTACGTTCTCTGGAAGACCTGAGGAGGGTTTGCTCTTTTGCTGTGAAAAAAAAGGTGGCCAGAAATCTTATAGTTCCTGCACCACTGAACCAGTGATTCAATCACTCTCCCAGGAATGGGAAATGAAGGTAAGAAACATACATCCCTGTTATAAAACTTCTCCACCGAGTTGTACCCTAGACGGGGCTGGGGCTTGCTCCCACTGCCACAGCTCAGAAGAGCCTTCACGGCAGATACGGCCAGGAAGAAACTCAGTTACGACTGTCACGGCAAGTTTTTCTCTTCCTTCTTGTAAGTGGTGAAGTTGAAGGGAAAGACCAACCTCCTCATTTCAGAGAGAACCCCCCACCTTCGGTTCCTCTCGGCCCACCCCG